TGTGTGCCTTTGGAGGGCATAACTTGGGTAAATCCTTGTAATGTGTGGTGGTGAAAACCTGTGGGTAATAGGACTTGGGAGCTGTGAAGTAAGCAAATGATGTAAAACATTGCCTCTTCAACCGTTCCTTGATTGCCCTGCTGAATCTGTGATCGAATTCAAGCTGTAGGGACATGTCAGTGGCACCACTTCTCATTTCTGAAAATGTGTTTTCGACGACAAGCGTTAGAAGACTTTTGATACTAAATTTGGTGGTAAGGCTTGGATTAAAACGGTCCAGCAGATCCTTGATGTTACGCAGAGACTTCAGGATCCTTCTTTCATCTTCCATGACAACAGATGAAACAGTTCCTTGAGAGCCTTGTGTCACAGCTGTGGTACCAATAAGGCTCATAACCGCATCAACACACTTTTTGTCAAAGGAGTAAACTTGCTCTAGTCTCTCGATTGCCTGGGGGATCTCTATTGTGACCGAGGTGCTTTTCTTTCAAGATGCCTTGCGAAGCTCATAATAATAATCATTTCGAAATAATCTCGCCTGACACTCATGTACGCAATAGATTTTATATTTTAGGGGTTCGGAAAGTTAAAAATATATTATTGAAAATAGATTGGTGTTCCCTTGTTCCCAGAAATCTACTCAAGAGTTCCCTTGTTCCCTGAAAATAAACTGAACATATCCCCTGTTCCCTGAAAATAAATNAAATAGATTGGTGTTCCCTTGTTCCCAGAAATCTACTCAAGAGTTCCCTTGTTCCCTGAAAATAAACTGAACATATCCCCTGTTCCCTGAAAATAAATGCTCCAGTTCCCTTGTTCCCTAGAACCCCTGGGAGGGGCTCACTTTTAGTGGTTGTCGTCATGGCGTATTTCAAATACCATCAAAACCAAACCCAGGAAGAAAATTAGTATAGACGGTTTGAGTGAGTTTCAGTGGAAGGAAATTGAGGCAAAAGTTGAAATTGGAAGCGGGTCTTTTGGAGTGGCCTATAAAGCGAAGTTTAACGGGAACACGGTGGTTGTGAAGCGTTTGCGAAGTGAGCGGCCAGCCCAGATTGCTTTTGCCAAAGAAGGTAGGCTGCTAAACACCTTTCACCATGAGAATATTGTTGAAATCCAAGGATGCTGTTTTTTCCCCTGTGCTCTAATGCTGAGTTATCAGTGTTTCGACTTCCCTCCTTTCGGAATTGAGAAGGAAGTAAATAATCTACTTTAACTTCTGGAAGTGATGGATTCTTTTGAAGAAACTTCATTAACTGTTTTCTTACCGACAGTGCTAAAAATAGCCCAAGATATTTCACGTGCCCTTACATATCTTCACGATAAAGATGTTACTCACAGAGACCATAAACCCGGGAATGTACTTGTTAGTAACTGGCATTACAGTGGGGAGGAAAACCGCGAGCAAGCGTTAAATGTTTTTAAAGTAAGCCCGATCGTGTGCAAACTAACAGACTTTGGGGAAAACAGATCTCAACTTATTCGAACATCGATGGCAATGCATTCTCGCACAAGCAACCTTGGGTACCCTCCCCTACATGGCACCTGAATTAATATTAAACAACTTGGAAGGGGCGTCTGTAGAGGACCTCAAGAACATTGATGTGTAGGCTCTGGGGATGACCTTGTTTGTGCTACTCAATCCCGATCTGCAAGGCCCTTAATTATTAAAACATGGGGTAAAGGTACTAATGCCTTACAGAAAAGTGATCGAGGGCAAAATGCGGGCACAAGAAATACCAAGGATGTCGGAGAAGTATCATCGAAAGCAGGCATCAGAATGGAACAAAGTGGAAAAGGTATTCCATCAGTGCATAGCGTTTGATGCTACTGCGAGACCTGCTACCCGGGACATTCAACGATTACTTGAAGACCAAATAACAAACCGAAGGTGCATGAGCTTGGCAGTCAGTCAGCAAAGCGCTGTGGAGCAGTTTCATCAAGATATGCTAGCGTGCTGTGATGAAGCAAATGACCCGCAAAACCACATTATATTCGTGGAGCATGACGCGACAAACGCTTGCAGTTTTCTTAGTCTAGCGATCTCTGACTCTTTGTTAAGTTTGACTAACACAAGCGACACGTCTTGGGATCAGGTAGCTGAAATAGCCCACAAAGTTATCATTGAACTTCCATCTTTGTTGAACAATGTCAGAGATCGTACCCGCTATTATGACGTACTCGAGGCCTTACAGATAATGAGGACACACAAGCTTATCCCTCAGGAGGTGGCGCTCTCTGAGAATATTGCATCCGACAGCTGTATCTTCTCACCTCAAGGTCGCCATCTTCTACGCAGCGCATTGCCATCTGCACCGAACCAGGCAACGTCAGTATACCCATATACCTGTGTGCCTTATGTCTTTCTAGTTGGAGTTCTAAATGGTTGTTACTTTGCCTTAGACGTTCATCCAATCGGAGAAAAGCTAGGAGGAGATGGCAATGGTATGCTGACGATTTTTTCAAGCACTGATTCCGCCAGCTGCGATTCCCTGTGCCATTGGATCTGGACCCGGCTAGCTGATGGAGCTGTTCAAGACGATGGAGGCCAGTCATTATCTGCGGTGATTCAGACTTCACCAGCGAATGAACCTGTACAGGTAGGCACTAAACGGATTAGCGTATGCAAGACAAGCAACTGAATATTAAGCTCCATGTCTTACCTGCATGCGATTGTTGAGCTCGAAGCATAGCCACCAAACCAAGGGTTAAACAATTTCGCTGGACAGTAATTACTATTATTATATGGCTAAGTCCGTGAGTGGGCAAGATGAACCAAATCCTGTGCTGTGATTGAACAAGATGGCGCTATCTTGTCCGCTGGGGGTTACGCGCTGTGTTCCGCAACAAAAATTCTCGAAAGCCATAGTTAGACCTCATGCTTATACTTACGAAATAGAAAACATACCGTGTTTCTATCGAGTTTAGGTGTAAATCTAAAGGCGTTCTATCACGAACGCCGTTCACTATCTATTCTGTTGTAGATGTGCGCTTAAACAGTGCGCGGTTATCAAAATGACGGCTGATTCTTTGTGTTTTCGAGGTGTCTGTGACGAGGATTTAGATACAGTTTTTAACGTCTAGTAGATTCATACTAAAACATTTAGATTATTCACTCTCGATTTCTATGCGTGATAGTTGACTCGGGCTGCACCTTCGTCCACTATCGCGCGATAGAAGTATCGAGCTCATAGTCTAATTGTTTAATAGAACACGATTTTAAATCAATCAGCGCGCGTATTTTCTTTGGGCTATTTTCTAAATATAGATATCTTCATATTTTGTTTCAGGACGTATACCAAGTTGGTAGAAATAAGAAGAAAAAGCTTTGGTAAGTGTGTAACATTGGATATTAAACGCGACCATCTTTAAACTGTTTTGAAGAAGGCATATAGGAAAATAATTATGCTTTTGCGATCTTTATTTTTCCCTCGACGAGGAAGAGCGATTTTTTTTTCCGTAGTTGGACCTTTTATTTTGAAAAAGCTTACATACAATTCATAGTTACAATTAAACTACTTACAATACAATACTTAAAATAAATTTACCTATAATATGTTGACAATAAACTGCCTACTACTATTTTTTTCAACATTAACATTACGCTACATACAACACTTACGGGTAACTACTGTACTAACAATAATACTATATAATTACAGCTGATTTCCACAGGATATATTCTATTCAATTTACGTAATTGCTAAGATGAAAATTTTGCGAGGTTTTTTTTGTTTTTGGATTGCGAGAAGTAGAGGACAAATTGAACTAAGCGAAGCCTTCTATTTTTAACATAAAATTTAGTTTCCGGACAAAAACATCCCAACTACATGCACGTTGGGTGATTTTCTGGAAATGAAAGTAGAATTTGGCATAGAGGAGGCAGAAATTTAGTTTTTTCATTATATTATCGTTATCAGAAGCTGTTCCGAAGAGTACTTCTTTTGAGCTTAATGTGATGGAAGAGTTTTCCTTTTCATTAAACCAGCATAGCACTTTCCGGAGAAAGTCGACTGCAATATGACAACCTAAGAAGAAGTGAAGTAAAGAGTCGTCATCCCCGCAGTAATGACAACTCTTGTTGTCTTCAATTCCGTATAAATGTAATTCTTTCTTTGTAGTGACAATACGATGAGCAAGTTTGTAAAAAAATTCTTTTAATTTATTTTGCTTACTGATTGCCTTTGTCCGCTTAAAAATTGTGCTCCCAGAGAGAGTGAACTGTGGAAGGTCGCGTTGCCACTTGTTAGGGCCAGTTGCGCAAGGTTCCCTCCTGTTCAAAAAAAGCCAGTAGTAATCTTTACATGTTAATTTAGATAGGTCGATCAACAGCGACGGTGACAGGTGAAAAGTGGAATTCCCTGGAGTAAAAATTGAATTGGTGCCAAAATAGTCCCTCGCCTTTCCAGCAGTCGTTTAGGGATAGCCGACAGAATTTGAAAATAGGTGAGAAAATTGGACTTGACTGAAAATCTGCAAAATTCAACTACATTCCACTGGAATCGAGAGTGTCACCAATCGAGTGGACTCCTTGGTCAAACCAATCCTGATAAAACACAGTTTTACCACCTATTTTTATTTCTTTGTTGTTAAAAAGGATTAATTCCTTGTCTCCGTTCGTGTCATAGATACTCTTCAGTTCCAAAAAGAAACTCAGAATTTGTTTGTAGAAGGATGGCATTTCAATCGACTTTAGGAAATTTTCGTCAAAGTTACAGGGAAGCAAGAAGTATAAGCCCCCATGTTTCTTAAAGAAAGAACATGGGATGACTTTCCAATTTTCTGTCCCCTGGCTGTCACTTTTAAGGAACCTTTGAATCCATGCCAAACGTAAAGCCTTACACAAAGTTTCAACGTGTGTTACACGCAGACCACCTCTTTCATAATCTTGATATAGAACTTCCTTTTTGATTTTGTCCTGCTTTTCCTTCCAAATAAATTGAAAAATTGAAGATTGAATTTTTGCAATGTAATCCTTGTGAATGTCTAGCACGGCAGCAGAGTGAACGATCTGTGAAATCCCTAGAGACTTAAAGATTAAACAGTGCCCAAAGATCGAAAGTTGGCGCGATCTCCAGGTACCCAGCTTTGCATTGAGGTTTTCAATTTTTTGGTTGACATTTTTTCTCTCATTTCCCGCCTTATCGTAAGAGATATCAATCGCCAAGACTTTAAGCGGTTCTTTCGTCCATATGAAGTTGAGAGGTCTTTCGGTACGCTGTTTCCATGGACCTAGCCAAAGAGCTTTGGTTTTGGATTCGTTGAGTTTTAGGCCAGATAAAATCCCGAACTCGTTTAGTATGAGCAAGGCGTTTTGGACCGATATTAGGTTACTGCAAATGAGAGAGGTGTCGTCCGCAAATTGGCTAATTTTAAGTTCCTTATGAAAGATAAAAATGCCGCAAATCGAATTATTATTCGCAAGTATCTCCGCAGATAAAATAAACAGATAGGGTGATAGTGGACAACCTTGCCTTACTCCTCCAGACAACTTGAGCTGCTTAGTAGTGAAACCATTATGATTAATAACGGAACTCTCTGCATTACAGCAGAAAGTTTCTATCCAACGCTTAATAGAAACACCAAAGTTGAAAATTGACAGGACTTGTTGAATCATTGGCCACCCGATTGTGTCAAAGGCTTTGCGAAAGTCGAGCTGGAGGAGAATGCCTGGTATATTTTCCAGTTCTGTCTGTTCTAAGAGGTCACGTAGAAGACGTATATTCTGACCAATAAATCTGTCTTTCATAAAGCCTGTTTGGTCAGTATGTATTAACTGCGGAAGTACCTTTTAATTCGTGTAGCTATTGCTTTGGATGCAATCTTGTAGTCAACATTTAACAAGGTTATTGGCCGCCAATTTGTGAGCTTCAGAGTGTCAGAATCTGCCTTTGGAATGAGGGTGACAACCCCCTTTCTCTGTGAAATTGACAGCTCCCCTCTCGAATATGCTGTGTTTAGACTTTCAACTAAGTCGCTAGCTAGAAGCTCAAAGAACTTTGTATAGAACTCTACTGTAAAGCCGTCTTCACCTGGTGACTTCCCGAAATTGAAGGTTTTTAAAATCTGACGGCATTCTGCGATGGTTAATTCTCCTTCTAAATTTTCTTTGTCATCATCACTCAGCCTAGGAAGTTGCACGGAGTGGACGAAGTCTGCGAAGAGTTCATGTGAACCAGCATGTTCTGACTGGTATAAATTCTGATAAAAATTTTCAATTTCTTGTCATAATTGCTTGTGGCCCGTTATTTTAACTCCCTCGCTAGTTTCCAGCTCAGTAATAGTCTTCTGATTAAAATTTTTTGCCTCCATATTGAGGAAGAGCGATAATACCGGAAATTGAAGCCCCTTTCGAATAGACTAAGAGTCTGGTCTAAAAAATGTATCCGTTTTTAATGGGGGCTAAACATTGTCATATTTTGGTCTGACGTAAGGGTTTCAGAAGCGCGTCCGCGCAATTGTTGGAGAATACTCCCTCCTCTCTGGCGATGTAAAGACTGACATAAGAGAATGGACTGGGCTTATTTTTGAATTTCATTCAAAAATGAAGTCCAACCAATTGATGTAGCCTAAAGTCGATTTGCTTATGAGATAAGTAGTTAGAAATATAATCAGGTTCGTGTGGACTAAAAACAAACCGTCTGAGAAGCGGAAAGTACATTTGGGTTCTCGCGAAGTGAAATCGACACTTTTTTTCCGTTTCTGTGACGTTTAAATGATGTTTTTGTTAACAAAGGATCAATTAATTCAGTAATGACTGACGACACTAACCTAATCCAATCTATACAGTGATGATTCTAAGACCCATGAAAGCCAAAGTTGGGGATGCTGAAGGATCCACACCAATCATCAAGTCTGCACGTGACTTCAGCTTAGACAGGTACATATGATGATCCTAGCCGGGGAAGGGAAGGGAGATTCAGTGCTGAATATGATAGTTGCAGTAGTAGGAATGAACTTAGTATGACTTATTTGTTCAGTTTCCGCAGAATTAAAAGGAGAACCCTGCGTGTTATGCTAATCTACCTTTTATCATTTTTATTTTGAAAATTCTGAAAAAGGAGTGCAATAATATACAATAGGCCAATTTTCTCCTTTTTTGCAGTACCAATAGAAAGGCTGATCATGACAACAACAAAGTAGAGGACGGTAAAGGATCTATACCATGTCACAATTTTGGAAAACCTGCGCACGATATCAACAGGTATTGATGATGGATCTGGGGAAAGCTCCCCCGCCCTCCGTTCATCCCAAGGCCAAACTCAGCCCTGTTCCCTCGCCAAAATGTATTTACCTTCGCGCAGAATTGTTTCCCCTTAAAACCCTTTTAGCAGGTTAGAGGGTAAGTGGAATCCTTTTCAGTCAGTGGTGGGAGCGCAAATCGGGCTTCATAAATTGGAACTCCAATGCTGCAGTTCTAGAACGGCTTTTAAAATATAAAGTTCAAATGCTTGATTACCTTCGTGATAAATTAATACTAACACTAAGTATATTGAAATTAGACACTAATTCACCCCAACTATTTTTAGTTATTCTTCCAAGATTGACGAGAACGAAGTTCAGAATGCTTCAGGATCCGCTCTGAGTCATAGAAAGAGAAAATCTCGTGACGCCAGCTTAACAGGTAAGAATGATTGCTTTTGCTTTAAGGGGAGGTACAACACTGAAAACTCTAAGCTCACACATTGCTCTTTCAAAAAGCGAGACCTTCCGTCCTGTCTAAATGCCCTTCGACGCTTCCCCGGCCCTCATTATCCATGTGAAAAGACGTATATTCAAATTTTGCTCTAATTGATTAATTAGGAGAAAATAATAAAGGTCGCTGACACTAACTGAGACTCGTTGCAAATAATTTTAAAGGGACGACCCAGCAACTAGCGAGAACAAATTTGCGGATGTGATGGGCTCAAGAAACAAAGAAACAAGAAACACAGATGATGGCAGTTTAGACAGGTCGGTAGAAATACGAGTGTATCTGAATATCCTTAGACAAACAAAGGTGTTCGCCTTCACCCTTACAACAGAAATTATAAAGTGTGTTATTTTTTGATGTGAAGAAATTGAGTTAGTACTCATTGTTTAAGAAAAAAAACACTGGTTTTATAATTGCTTCTCTCATGCAGAAGCCGCTTTGAAGATATTGAAGATGTCGTTGATCTTACTCATTGCCTGAATTCTGCATCAGCGCAACAAAGTATTTCCTCACCAGAAACCAGGTAATATGTTATCTCATGAACTTAATAATTTAATTGTCTTTTTCCTTATGTTATATATTTAAAAGAAACTCCCAGATGCAGTTTATTTGTTAACTGCCGGCCTCGGATGAACAAGGGAGTGGATGCCACCCACCAATCAGGCCCAATCTGAGGCTTAAAAAGAGTATTTATCCTAAGATGCCGAAACTTTCCATAGCTTTATTCATTCATCTCGTAAATTAATATGCCAACTGTGTATTTATGATTTTACATGTAAGACATTGCGAGGCAGGGCATAATTACTTGTAGGTTAGGCCAGATATCTACTTTAATTTTTGATGTATTTGTTTATATTTTTCCAGTTATTTTGGTTTGATTTTAGTTTGTTGAAAAAATGACTGCATTACTCCAAAAAAGGACAGATATAGTAGTGCTTTCGAATAAATACGATATACGTTTTGTTACACAGCGGGGACATTGTCGCAAAGATTCAAGATGTCGTTGATCTTACCGGGTCCCAGAGTCCCACATCAGCAGACCAACAGATGCCTTCACCAAAGACAAGGTATTATATCTCGACGTTTATAATGTCAAGACGCTCAAGTAAAGACTGAGGCAGATTTCGTGAACCGAATAGATACCGGATAGATACAAGAAAAATTCTGAACAGCCATGAAACCATTCTTTTAACTGAGAAGTCATTTTAGCGTTGTTTGATTTCAGCTCATTAATTAACATTGAGTGTAAAACATTCTAGTCTGCATGCATAGGGTATATTTGCAATCAGTTTCTTATATAAAAGTATTCACTTTGCTCTCCGGCGGACGTCAGTACAAGACAGGTTTGATAGTTATTTGCTTTCATGGTTTTACTGTGGGATACTAAAGCGAAAACTGAAACTTTCAATAGTGTTTCATTCATTTACATCCAACAATGTCTATATTAAGCTGCTTAATGCTGCCGGGCAAATATATTTTGCTTTGAACGATGATCGATATTCTCTGGTGGCCTCTTGTGTATCAACTAGGGAGTCCTTAAATGACTGTTTCATGAATGGAGAAGGGCTTCCAACTTACTCTCCCGTCCTTATTAATCTTTATTCTGGTCATTCCTTTGCAATTTGCAGTAAATGGAAATGCTCAAGTGACGAAGAAAGTGACAGTAGTAGCGGGCATGAAGCATTTCGTGTCACTGAGTATTATAAAGCCAACCCTAAACTTCCTGTATATACAAAGAAAACAGAGGTTCGTGGACCACTGAGAGTTGTAAAACTTCTTAGATCAGTTGGAACGTCGCTTCCCATAAGCGTCGCCTGTATCCAATAACGTATCCATGTCGACACCGAAGCATTGAAATCCATCGAGGATCTCAAGTGTGATGATCGTGGTTGCTGGCTTAATAACAGTAACAAGAAATTCCGTTTTGTTGTTGACAAGGGTGGAAATGTCTCCAAAGACGTTAGTGAAGAAATAAATGGCCCAGCTGTTGTTCTTACGCTTAAGAGAGAGTACTTCTGCTTGAAAGACGGGATTCTAAATGACTTTAGGAAGAGGATTAATGTCATTTATGGTAGGTTACTTTTGACGTTTATGTAGAAAGGGTTTACCCGGGTGTCTCTAGCCGACGTGAGGGTCTCAATGGGGATCAACCGTTAAACGCCGAAAAATGTGATCCTTTGGCTTAAAAAATTATAATAGAGCAGTGACCGTCATGTGACCGGCATCGCTCTATGCAGTGGTGCGATAGCTGTTTAGAGACGGGATTACTCCATAACCGATGAGTTACCAAGCACGTATGCAAGGTTACAGATTTGCTTGCCTGAACCATTTGGGTTGTAAGCATTTTGCCGTTTCAAGAGGATTACCGTAAAGAACAGTCCGAAGATTTTGGAGCTATTATTACCCGTGCAGTTGCAAAGGCCCATTACACAAAATAAAAGATAGAGATAAATTATATTTGAAGATTTGCGTTTGCTTTTGAAAGCGGAAATCTCTATATTTTTTCTCAATAGGTCGAGACAGGACAGAATTTGGTTTTGATCACGGGTATGTCATGCTACAATGTCGCGCAACTTTTGTCAGCTTCAATGTCGAGAAGTAAAATGAAGTAAATTTCGAGTTGAAAGGGCTCAATTTGCCCTTCAGTAAGGACACCGGTTCGCGCTAATTGTTTCTGCGCATCCTTACTGCACACGCAAATTCACACGCCACGTCACGGCATCGAGGGCGCGCTAAAGGGAAAACGAAGTCCGTGACCCCCAATTTTTTTTTCATTTCTGAAACAAGTAATTCATCTGTCCGCAATAAAAGTTTGAAGAAAATCTATCGAGTAGAACATTTTCGCGCGAACGTCCTTAAACCGTTAGATGTAAAAAAATGTCCACTGTCGACAACCTTAAAACTAAAATACAAACTGTTAGTTGTAAAAGCCACAAATGAAGCATCACTGATATTAATATATCACATTATAGGGCCTAATGGTATGATGCATCGATATTGTTTGGTTCAGTATTCCTTTAAAGGAGGCGCCGAACACTCAATTGAGCTCAGACCACATGGAAATTGCAAGTCACGGTCGACAGGATACATAAGGACTACTTGGACCAGTACCAAGACTTTCCTGAAGTCGGCTTCTGAAGAATCTAAGCCAGGGGAAGTGGTCTACAAAACAGTCACAGAAGAACTTGGGGATCTGCCCGGCTGTTCTGGCATAGGACAACTCCCCAGAGGTAGACAGCAAGTAAAGGCCAGAGACAAAACGAGTGTTCGCGTGAAGAATATTTCTGGGGCAGGAAAACAAGATGGTACGTGGTTTCGTCTTCTCGGCGATTGTAAAAAACAAGCAAGCGACCGGAAATCAGCATCCATAAGAGACGTAAGAGTCGCTCCAGAACCAATGTGTGTCCTTACAACCGACAGACAACTGAATGATATGGTAAGATTTTGCTGTAATCCAGTCGAGTTCAAACCCTTCACCGAGGACCCAACATTCGACATAGGTGACTATATTGTGACGCCAATCACGTACCTGCACTTATTGTTAGAAAACAGAAAAGATGGCAAGCACCCTTCAATGATAGGCCCTGTCCTCATTCACGAAAAGAAAACGACAGAGACATATTCCGTTTTTAGCGGAACCCTGAAATCACTAAACCCAGGCTTAGGCAAAGTCTTAGCGTTTGGTACTGATGGCGAGAAGGCTCTTGTCACTGCATATGTGGAAGACAGAGAGGAACTGTCTTTGAAGCTGGGCTTGGAGATGCTTCGAGCAGAGACATGTTTGTCAAACAGCTCGGCCAGCTGGAGGAACCATGGTCAGCACTACACCAAAATGGGCGCAATTTCTTCAAATGGTTTCATAATCACAAGAGCGCTGATTTCGTGAACTCTGTTATTAGTCCAGTTCGTCAAAGAGCCGGACTGGGATGTCCACCCGAAAAGTTCACAGCCAACCGTTCAGAGGCAACCAACAATGTATTGCAGGACTTCTTGTCACGTGAATCGCATGGAAAGAAGAAAGTGGATGAGTATTCCTTTGCATCATCTGTTGAGAAGTTGGTCAAGATCCAAAAGGAAGATGTCGAACCAGCAGTAGTAGGAAGAGGGGAATACAAATTGAGAAAAGAATTCCGGTACCTTGAAGTTGTCCCCAGCGAATGGAGCCGAATGCGCAACGATCAGAGAAAAGCAGTGTTAGAAAAAATTCACGAGGCTAACATTGATGAAATGCAACAGCCAAGCGTTACCCAAGCCACGAATGCCCTTCGAAGAGGAGCACATCCCGTTATGCAGGAAATTCAAAGTATCGGAATCGACTGGATACCTCATGACGTTTTATCTGCAATAGTGAATAAGGCGGATTCCCTGAATAAAGAACATCATTCTGTATAATGCCGCAAAACAATGAGACAGTCGTTGTGCCGTGAAAGTCAAATCCCAGAGATCCACACGTGGTAAACCTGTTTGCTAACGGAAAAGATGACTGTGCAAAATGTCCCGGATTTGCCGCATTTTCAATCTGTGCCCACACCCTGGCTGCATGTTTGGCCATAGATCGTCTAAAAGATTTTCTTCGTTGGCTGGTTAGTACGAAGCGTAATTCGGGCGGGATTTATCCGCGGCAGTTGCTTACGGCATGCCCAAAGGAAGGGGCCGTAAAGGGGAACGTGCTCCCAGGAAACGTTCTGTTGGAAACAAAAAACCAGTCTCAAAAGTGGTGTCTGTACAGGCCGTCTGTACAGAAAGCCTTCGAATGTATACTTCCACTGCAACGTTCCATGCGTTTAAAGAAAACAACCAAACTTTGATGGAAGGTCTTGTTTCGTGAATTTAGATATAGAATCCCTTCTCACTTATGTCCACAGGCAGTTTATCAGAAATCACCTGGGAATTTAGACATCCCTTGAAAACAAGATCGCGAAAACCTAACAGGTAAATCAGTGTTTCACAGGTGTGACGCAAAAACAAGCGGTAATGCAAGCAAAAAAATCGACAAGTTCTCCTCTTCGTAAGACGTGCACGTTAACCTTAAAAAATTGAAAGCATGCCGCAAACGCAAAATTAGTGCCACGCCCAGATCAGCTACATTAGAACGGTTTCTTGTCCACAGTCCTACAACGTTTCCGTTGTCAAACTTGCTTTCCTCTATAGTGCGGTCCGGTATGTCCGAAAAATCGCTCCCGTAGGACTTTCGTGCCGAAATTGAATTTTTCGCTATTTTGCACTAATTGTGGGTCGAATAGTAAGAATCCGATGGGGTTCAAATTTTCAGATTCCGTCTTCCCGTGTTTCTGGCTTCTCAAGGACTAAATTTATGCTAATTTATGCTAATTTATGCTAATTAGATGCAAAAATAAGTTTTGCGAATGTCTTTGCTCTTAGATTCAA